CTTTAAAAAAAAAAAAAAAAAAAAAAAAAAATTCTCAGGCCTGGGGTTGTGGCCCAGTGGCAGAGGGCTTGCCTAGCACGTGTGAGGCACTGAGTTGAGTTCTCAACACCACATATAAACAAATAAATAAAGGTTAATCAAAAACTACTAAATATAATTTTTTAAATTAATAAATAAATTCTGAAATTTATAAATTAATTAAATTAATTTATAAATAAATTAATTTTAAATAAATAAATAAATAATTATCTAACTAACTGGAGACTATTAGATCAGATACAAACTGTAGAAGTAAATTACTAGTTTTCTAAAGGGCCTATGATCACCCCAAATAATTTCAACTCTAGATGTCCGATATTTTTTTTTAAGAGCAAGAGAGAGAGAGAGAGAGAGAGAGAGAGAGAATTCTTTAATATTCATTTTCTAGTTTTCGGCGGACACAACATCTTTGTATGTGGTGCTGAGGATCGAACCCAGGCCGCATGCATGCCAGGCGAGCGCGCTACCGCTTGCCAGCCCCTAGATGTCCGATATTTCATCTCTCCACCAATCACTATCTTCTACTCAGCCAAGGTCAAAGAGTCTGCTGAATCTTGAATATAGATGTAGCTTCTCTGGAGACCCTCAGTCTCACATTTACATCTTAGGAATCTTCCCAGTCAGTGGGAAAGCAATGGTTCAGAGGTGAGTCGATGGCAAGCCCAGTCCATTGCTCTGGGCCCAAGGTGAAGCAGCTCTCCTGGACGGAAGAGTGTGGCAGAGGCAATCTGCTGAGGTCATGGAAATAGAGCAGGGAGTGGTTTATAACAGTTATAAGTGTATCTATTGCACCTTATTTAAGATTTTCCAGTAAACCTAATATTTAAAAATAGCAGTACTYAAACTTTTGGTCCAAGGATGCTGTTATTTTCTTCAAAATTATTATGAACTTTAGTGAATGTTTTACTATATTAGAAATTAAAACTAAGACCTTTAAAAAAAACACAGGAGGATTCAAGTAGATATCCAATTAATTTGTCAGAGCAATGATATCATTATGTGTCACACAAACAAACATCAAGAAACCTCTGGAAAATGCCACTGCAGATTTAGGAGAGAATGAGCATGAAAAAGGAAGATAACATCTTAGAATGATTATGGAAATAGGTCAGAGCTTGTAGACATTGTTCAATAAAATTTTGGGAAGGCTGCTGATTTGGACTGAGCCCCTGTACTAAGTCCAACAGACCAGACCAAACCAAACCAGAATGGAGACACTCACGCTAGATGCCACATAACCAAACTGAACATTGGAACAGGTCAGTTTTCCAAACACAGGAGATTCACAGTAACCAATAACAAGTGGCCCAGTTTACCTGAGCCAGCCTAATAAGGAAGGCCCCTCTGTTTTACCCTATAAGGAAAGAAACTTGGAAAGGCCCAAGCTGCTTTTTGTGTCCTGTTTCTTCTTTATTCCGTCTTTTTTGGCCTACAAAGCCAACTTCCTCTGCTCAGCCCCTGGAACACCTTTTCTAAGTCTTTAGAGAAGACACTCCCCATTCGTGAATCACTAACAAAAAAMCAATTCAATGTTTAAACCAAATTTGTTATAATTTTGTCTTTTGATGATTCTTGAGTACCCCCCTAGCATCCCCAAACTATGCTTGGGAACACTGACCTGAAACATGAAATTTTAATCAAATTTTTAGGGAGGGCCTGATATACCTTCAGTGATGTAAACTTCTCTGAACATGATGATCCCTAAGATTCTGCAGTACGTATTTATGATTCATTTGGTTTGGTTTGGAGATATCARCATTCATTTCCCATCTTTGAGAGCCAGGCCTTAATTTTGCACTCAGAGGTCAAAACCCCTCTCCTTCAAGCTTARTTCAGCTTAGAAAGAGGGTGTACCTAAGCTAAGTCATCTCTCCCCTGCACAGTCACCCTTTTGGGGCTGAAATGAGATGGGRTATGAGGCTGCAATGCGGCATCTGGCCCTTTCCTCCAGAGCCTGACTAGGAGTGGGTAYAAGATTCATAGTGGCAGGAACCTTCCTAATTAACATCACAGGGGAAGATTGCGTGAATGGKGAGCCAACAGGAAGAACAGAGTTGGGGTCGGGGAGACAGAGAGACAGAGAAAGGCAGAGATGGAAACTGATATTGATCATCCTGGGACACTGGCCTGAGCTCCTAAACCAGCCTCGGCAGGCACTGCTACTTGCAAAGTGCTCAATATTCTTTCTTGCCAGGCACTATGGCACRTGCCTGTAATCCTGGAGACTTGAGAGGCTGGGGAAGGAGGATTGCAAGTTCAAAGCTAGCTTTAGCAACTTAGAAAGGCCTCAGCAATTTAGTGAGATGCCGTCTCAAAATAAATAAATAAATACATAAATAAATAAAAAGGGYTGGAGATACAGCTCAATGGTAAAAGAGCCCGGGGTTCAATCCCTGGTGCAAAAAAGAAAAGAAAGAAATCCTTTCTCCTCTGCCAAACTGACACACCCTTAGTTCTGCTCAGAGAACCCTATGTCCAGGCCCAATTACTCAGCCTCCTAGATTCTACTGTAGAGGATAGAGGCCAAGTGACACGGTTCTCACCAATGACTTATAAGCAGCAATCAGGCATGGAGCTTCTGGGGAAGCCCGCGAAAGCAGGGATACTGCCCTGTATCCCTCTTTCCCTCTGGGACGGCAGGCATGAGAGGTGGAGCTGCAGGAGATTGAAAGCCACAAGGAAAAGCTGACAGAAGGACCCACAGCCCTGATGATGTTGCTCGCTGACTTGGCACCAGCCGCAGGCAGCTAGATTGCCAGCAAAGGGAGATAGATACAAGCTGCTGGAATCAAGTTTCTGCCACACACACACACACACACACACACACACACAGAGCAATCCCTGCATGGTGTGCAGCCCCCACTCCTGGACTCTTCCTTCCCATGAACCAATAAAGCCCTTTGGCTTATGCTGGTTTGGGCTGGGTTTTCCATCACTTTCAGCAGCCAGCATCTGGTTTCTGACGGCCCAAGATACAGTGAACAACAACTGTCCTTGAGGAAAAAGATGATATTCCTCAAGAACTTCAAAGCAGGAGGTGGGGAAAGGAAGAAGATCATAGGAGGGGGACAAAGGAGAGCGTCAGGGGTAGCAGAAAGTTTGCTCTGGCTTCGGGAAGGAGCTGAAGCAGTGTCTAGGCTACTGTCTGGGTCACAAAAATAATCCCGATGACTGTACAAGGAAGCTATGTTGGCGAGGCTGCTCAGCTCTCAGCAAATTATCGTTGGCCCTTGCTCTTCAGAGGCATGTGAAGTACTGCATTCTTTGGGGACCTGGGCCTCCCTAGGAGTTTGGCTCCTGCCTGGAGAGGTCGGAGGCAGGGAGAGGGGAGAATAGGAATTAATGTGAGCATTAGCCAACCTGGAGTCAGTAAGATATAGAGATATATCTTGATTCTGCACCAAATTGCTGGGGACTTTGAGCAATGTATTGCTCAAACTTTATTTCTTCAAACATAAAGTGTTGCTGATCATGTTTTTTCTCCCTCTCCTTTTCTTTCTTTCTTTCTTTTTCTTTTTCTTTTCTTTTTTTTTTTTTTGGTACCAAGGATTTAGCCAGGGGCATTTTACCACTAAGCTTCATCCCCAGCCCTTTTATTTATTGATTTATTGATTTTTGAGACAGGGCCTTACTAAGTTGCTGAGTCTAGCCTCAAACTTGTGATACTCCTGTCTCAGCCTCCTTGATTTGCTGTGATTATAGGGGTAAGCCACAACATCAGGCTGATAATAGTATTCTTATAGGGTTATTTCAAGGATTAATGAGCTATGAAAATTTACTAGAAGTGGCACACACTTGTAATCCCAGCTACCAGGGAGCCCGAGACAGGCAGATGGCAAGTTCAAGGCCATCCTGGGTAACTTAGTGAGWCTTTATATTAAAATAAAAATATACAAAGGGATGGGGATGTAGCTTAGTGGTAGAGCATCCCTCGRTTCAATTCCCAGTACTGCAGAAATAAATAAATAAATAGATAAAAATATAAACAAACAAACAAACTGTTCTAGGAAATAATTATGTAAGATGTCACCATTGGAGAAAACTAGGTAAGGACCTCTGTAAAGCCAGTCTCGATAAATGAGTGAAGTATCTTTTCAACTAGTATCTTTTCAACTTCTTGTTGAATTATGTTGACATTAAAGTTTCAAAAAATTAATGAGAGAAGAGAGAGATAAAAAAAATCCACAAGTCCTGGGGATGAGGGTTTATAGATTTTCCTAGCARTTGAGTGATAGGAATAAGAAGATGAGAGAGAATTTCATGGGAAAGGAAATGGAATTTTCTATGAATTATTAA